TCTCCAAGTCTATAAATGCTAATTTGATGATTGTTCGAGACAAATCGGAGAGCATTTTATAATTGAAACTTTAAACGTATAAGAGAGACTTATGGGACATTCATGCATTTATACTGCTCATAGTCTAGAAAGTGCAGCAAACTATTCTCTTTCGAAGTTCGACAGTTTGCAAAGAATATTTTATATTATATTCTATATATATTTATATATATATATATATATATATATATTTAGTAAGACAGCAAATTATGAAAATATATATATAAATATATATCAAAAGTGTTCATAAGATAATCTCATTCCATATTTTTAATTGCGTTTACACTACAGCAATTAATTCGACAATTTGACAGCAATACATATCATTCTTTAGAGAAAGTCTATATGTAAAAAATGATTGTTACGATTGTAATTCTTAATATTATATTATATTGAAATCTATTAAGCAATAAAGTCAGATGTACTATATTTTACAATAATACAATAAGTAAACTACGTCGTTTTGTTTAAAGAGAAGACCTAAAGTATTAGTGACAAGCCCACAAACATTAAGTAGTTTAGATCCAATAATACTAAATTGTACATTGAATACTTTTGATTTATATTCTTCTATTTTAAATATTTTTTCGAAGGATGTGATAGCAAAAAGTTATCTGATGACCTGCGACTGCAACCAATCACATCGGAAAGGTATGCTTTACTTAATATGGTTATTAATCTAATATAAATAATGGAATATAGGAAATAAAGGAATGTGTTAGCAAAACGACGAAAAATCGTTAATTGAGGTACATAAAAGTTATCTGATAGCCTGCGACTTCAACCAACCAGCCAACCGCATCGGTGAGGTAAGCTGTACTTAATATTGTTATTAATCTACAAAATTTGGGATATTTTTTTGAGGCAATTTTATAAGAGCAGATATTAGAACTTATAAGTATTCACAAAATAAGATCCAATAGGTTCTAATTTCAGTCCACATATTAATTTTATTGGATAAGTTATTGCAGATTCATGTCAATGGTATATACAACCGTACTAAGTAAATAACTTGATAACTCTATTCAGTATTGTTGGCAACCCTGTTTTTATCAAAAAAAAATTGACACATCATATAAAATTTGATAAAAAAATATAGTTAAAGTTATAGTTGCTTTGGCTTAGACATTACAGTTCTGTTCGGAAAGAATTCGATAATTATTAAAGAAACGGTTTTTAATTACTGTCTAAATAAACAACTTATAATGTAAGTACTCTATTGAAGAACTTAAACTTAATATTATATATATTAAAAGCTATTAAATTTAAAATTTTATTGCCAATAAAATCATGAATTAAATGGCGGACAGCTAATTTATCCAAGAACACGAAACGGTACAGCGGAAAAGTATGAAATACTAGAAACTGGTTTTAACTAAATATAAAAAAGTCTACAATATTTTGGACCAGACCACCCTTTAATTAGAGTTTGTAATAAACCGATACCGAAAAGTGGGTGTAGTGGAATTGGTATAAAAACTTTGCATAAATGGTTTGCAAATGATTCTCCTTCCTTTCTCTAATTCTGTTTTTATCCGAGGTATCATCTTCTCCAGCTCAAATCGATTGGTCATCGAGAACAATTGATTTTTATGTCCATAAAAAGATCTCCATTCTCTATGCTGTTTTAATGAAATATCTTAGTGTTGTGTTATCCCCCAGAACTATAGGTTAAGTTTTCAGGCGCTTGGCTTAGCAGAGTTCTCGTTCGTTTTGATTTATTGGTTTTTTTCTCGATAAAAAGTGGTTCGTATCATAATTGCCGCCTGTCAGATATCGACTGCTAGAAGGTTCAATAAATTCTCTATGCTGTTCCTTTTCAATGAAGTATCTGTAATCCCACAGAACAATGGGTTACGTTTTCGTTCTTTTTGATTTACAATTACTGTTCTTCGTCTTCTAATTGTTCCATCGAAATTATTGGTGTTCTAATTGCTTATCTTAGTGAAATGGATTTTGAAAATGAGTATTATTGCATTTTTGTTTGTTTAAAGAAAAATGTTTGAGTGAATGATTGATAAGCCTATTTGAGTTCCAAACTGGTAATTCCTGATTTTAAATTGTGTTGATATTTTTGTGTCATGAGTTGTTAATAGATACATTCTTTCTCCAACATTCTTTAAGCAGGATCTTAAGCTCGCTTACCTAATTGGTTGCGCTTTTAGCATTTGATGTGCATTTAGCATATACTAAGTGCAATGGATGTTTTTTGTATATTAAGAGATGTTAATTCTGAAATTTAGGTTACGGTCACCAATTCTACCTCCAGAACTGTTTTGTTATCTTGGAGACATATGTAGTGTTTCTGATATTCTTTTTGTTTTTAGTTTGTCTCATTGGTTGCTCTGTATACCATTTTTTGCTATAGCTGTAGAAGGAAATACTTTTATGATTTTTGAATTTTTCGCAGGCATTATTTTTATTATACAAAATACACAATATTCGCAGAATTCAATTCTGCACGTAAATTCTTTTTGGGAGTATTTAAAATTTTAAATATTATTAATTTTTCACATGTTTTAAAGCCTACCTATTATGTGAAGTTCATGGTTAAACCGAGCATATGTGGATTACGTTCAATAAAATTTTCCATTATTAATTGTTTCAATATGACAAAAAAGCACTTAAAATGTGTGATGTATATCTGTAGAATAAATGTCACGTAAGCTCCTTTATCTATATTTTCTGTATATGTGCTTTAAAATGCTATATCTGAAACAAGTTATTATTTTAACTAAAAATAAATTAATTAAATTAACACTTATATGCACCGAAATATTCTAGTATAATTTACCATCGGAACCATAAGTTGAGCTATTAAAAGATATATCTTTCAAAACAAGAAGTTGGATAAAAACTGACATCAAAGTATGTTGAGGCTAGTTCAGACAGTGCACTTTTAAGCACTTTTACTCTCTGTAACTGTGAGGTTTCTTCATAACCCCTCGCAATGCCCCTCTGACATATATTTGTTTGATAGAATTCTCATTATAGATTGTCGTTTAAGAATATGAGAAGTGTTCTAAACTTTTAAATTAAATATATCTGGCAAATCATTAAAACACCATTTCTATAAATTTTACCGTATTGGCCAGAGTTAAAACTTTAAAAATAATGTGAATCATCCATCCATATATTTCGAATAATGTAGTTCATTAAATTTAAAGTTTATTATATTATATATATTGAAATTAAGTCTATTAATCAAATTTAGTGTTTATTTATTATTTTCACTTTAAAAACATGTTTGGCCATAATTATATACAATATTGTGGAATAATAAAATTTAATTCATTCTATTAAATTAAATTTAAGTATTATTAATTATTATTTAAGTAATTAAAATCAATAAATGTGAAAATAATATTTAAATTAAAATAAAAGTATGTGTTTAATAGGACAAGAAATTATTAAGAACTCTTACAAGACACATATCTAAAGTGTTAATACGTTTACTAACTTTAAATCTTAAACTACGTTTACACTGTCACAATTAACATAACATGCTTGCGGCAATAATAGCATTCTCCATATAAAATCCATACAGAAAGGTAGAAATAAGCTTTATTATTTGCAAGCGTAAATTTATTTATATATTACAACCTATTAAACATTTTTGGTGTACTACATTTAAAGAAAAAAATAATATATACAATTATACGAAATAAAATCATAGGGTTCTAGTTTTTGAAAGCTTGATAACTCTAATCAATAATTTTAACATACCTGTCTTTATCAGAAAAAAAATGACATTTCATATGAAATTTGATAAAAAAATTTTATGAAAGTTGAAATTGCTTTCGTCGAAGGTTGCAGTTCTTTTCGTAGAGAACTCAATAATTGTTTAATAAGTTAGTGTTAATCCCTTCGAATTTCTTAGAGATCTTAAAAAGTTTCAAGTTTTGACGGAAAATAATTTAATTTTTATAAAACTCGAAGAACTTGAGTTTGCGGTTAGATTTGTTAACAACGAACGGTTTTCAATTACTTCCTTGGCATACAGTTCATAATGTGAGTATACTTTAGTTATATTAAAACTATTTCTTAGTAAAACTAGTACTTCGTGAGTTTTATATTACAATGAAAATAAAGTGATTACTTTTATTTAAGTAGAAGAAAGTGGATTTTTCGATTTTTCATTTATTGGAAAAATCGCTTTAATGTTGTCATTATTAAGAAGCGATAAATAGTTTCTGCGGTTAATACCGATAGTTTCTAATAGTTTTTCGTGTATAGTAGAACCACCAATAAATATTTGCAAGTTCTCCAATTTGTTTGCATTCCATCTTTTTCCCAGTACCTTCTGCTAAAAGAATCTTTTTTCGGTCGCTACACCCTCAATACTCGCCATATAGTAAAACTATTTTTTTTGGAAAAAAAATACATATTTCTTAATCTCTTAGGATTGTTCGAGGCTATATAGTCAACTGATTTTTAAATAGTTCAAAAAATTAAATTTAAAATTATTTAAACTAAAGGATCCTGCAGTGTTTGAATATATTAAACGCCCGATAAGTATCAAGGTGTAAAAAATTATAAAATTAAGAGTGAAACGAAAAACAATATGTCGGCTTAAATTTGGTCGTGCGACCCGAAGGTATCTGTGACTCGTCATTTAAACGAAGCAGTGTTGTTCAATAATAAATGTCAACATTTATGTATTTTAATAGCGAATTTTTACGATTTCTGGAACATTCTGCACAACATTCATTTTCGTCATTTTTGACGAGCCCATGACACTCAACATGACAGGGTTCTTATAAATACTCAATATAAAGTGCAAGAGGTTTTATGCCACATTTCAATTTCTATTCTTTCAAATAATTAAATATTTTCATCAGTGATATATGCTATAATACTGAGTTAAAAGCAAGGTAGCCTGAGAGCTCACATTGATATTTTTGACATCCCTGTGTATATCATAAAAAAATGACATTTATAAAATTAAGTGAAATAAATTCTTTTATGTTGAAGTTGCTTTTGTTGAAGTTGCATTTGTTAAAGTTGCATTTGTTAAAGGTTAGCTATTTCGTTCAGAATTCAGTTGTTTAACGAATATAAGGTGTTAATTAATTTGTAAGTCTTAAAGATATTAAAATGTTTCAATTTTTGACATAAAGCACTTAAATTTTTTTAATAGTTAAAGAACTTGAAACTTCGACTAAATTTGTTGGCAACGAAAGTTGCCCAATTGCATTGTAAATTGCACGGTTCTCAGTCTGAGTACTCTAAAAAAATACTGAGCAAATTGTTATTAAATTAGGTATTCGCACGATATTAAAATAATGAACTTTAAAATAGAATGAAAATAAATTAGTCACGACCTTCCACTTATATTATATTAGAAGTTTGACAGTCTATATGTGAAGGATCTATATCAACGACTCATGTGGTAGCCAATTGATGCCATCTTTTTCTGATAACATTTCATTTCAATAGACCATATGTTTGATATATTTGACTTTGTGAATTTATGATATCTAAATTATATTCAATTAGTTTCTATTTCTTTTACAAGACTTAATCAATAACAGCATGGCATCACAATGTAAGGACGCAAACCATGATACCGTCGTTGTCTGCATTGAGTTGTAAGTATACTCTATAGTAAAATATATTTCTATAATGTTTTTATTTGCTTTATACTGTATTTGTGCTTAACACTTCAGGACTCATGGGTCAATGACCGGTACAGTCAAATTCAACGACATTGAGGAGGTTCAAATTATTCGTAATGTTCTGGATGATTGTGATGTTTTGCAAACGGAGGTGTTCAAGTCAGGAATATTGGGGCTAACATGGCATGAAGAGGTTTTTAAAGAACAGGGCGTATTTCATGTCCCGAGTGTAATTCATCTTATAAGAGTATTTACGGAGGACATGGTTAATGAAGGCAATTTTTGGTTAGAAAGTGGTGAAAATGATTCATTCCCAAGTCAGAGTGGTAAAAACCTCAAAATTGATTGTGAACCTCCCACTACAAAACTATCAAAAATACTTGATCTTTGCTTCATGATTTTGCATCACTTTTCTCCAAACATGGACCCAATTGAAAGAGAAAGCATTTCCGATGATATTAATTGGATGAAGAAAACTCGGTCAATGCATTTAAATAATGGTGAGATTGGGCGCAATTGGCATAAATTTTTCTGCAAGTTTTGCGAAGGAGACTGTATGTGGGTTCAACTTGATTTGTCAACACCACAAAATAAGATGAAGCGAAAAGTTAAAGATCAAGACAAAAAGTTTGATGATTACAAAAAGGTGTGTGTTTCTGAAAAACAGCCTACGAAAACATTTATGGCAGCTGATCATGATCCATGGAACTACACTGGACCCGAGCCACCGTGGGCAAATAGCGATGTAGATTGGTCCAAACTTCCATGGCGCGATATGCTTATAAGACCGATACCGTCGCATGAACTTCCATGGCGAGATGAGGATGGCGCTTGGGGTGGTGCTGATGTTGATATCGATGCTGAAGTTAAAAGTGATGTTGACTTTGATGTTGGACAGGATATTGGGAACACGACACCGCCTGCGCATTATGCAGATAGTGTTGAACAACGTTTCTGTGAGTTAACAGAGCTACACGGTATAAACGATGACGAATCTCCCGTCAATCCATATATCTGTGATATGTGGGATACTGAATGTGCTGATTAAAATTTTAAATCAAACTAAAACAAGTATTAACATGAATGCTCCTAAAATGTTATTATTCATGTTAATGTCATTCTTATCAACAATTAATGATTCCTTTAAGTTTTCATTTGTAACTTAATTTTTTAAATAATAAACTAAATGAAAATGTTAACACAAATGCGTAAGAATTAATAAAGTAATTTAAAACAATTATTTTTATATTATTATATTACCAAATTGAAATTATTTGGTATAATCATAATTTTATATAGCTTTATATAATATAAGCAATAAATAAACTACGTATTGTAAGATTCTTCTATCGACGATTCTCTATTTGGATACACTTGACAATATGAGCCCTTTTAGGACAATTCAAAAAAATATAACAGAATTTTTTATATTTGTATTTATTCCGCAAAATGTAAATTAAATCTTTTTTATATAAATTTTACTACAGGAAGAGAGATACAATTTTGAATATTAAACAAGACGGAATATTTAAATATTTTAAGACATGTATTGATTAAAGCCTGACCTCTAAATAACAGTGTTAACAACTTTCATAGAATAGAATATAATATGAACAGAATATATTACATCGTCACTTTATAATCAATATTTTGTCCTATAATATATTGGCATTAACTAATATAAAATTAAAATTAGAAAGAATATTTATTTATTTTTTTAACATTATTCTAAAAATATTCTCTTACAGAAATTATCGTTTCGCAATCTAACATTTCATTCATAACATTTGTGTACTAGAATATATACTTCATACCTTTATATGAAGAAAAATATGAATTTCTAAAGAATATTTCTATAATTATTTCGTTGTGACATCTGAATGGATTCTTTTTTTAGAGTATACTAAAAATATTCTTTTATAGAAGTTTTCCTTTGGCGAGTCAATATTTCAGTCATAACTTTTGTGTCCTAGAATATATTTTTTATATCTTTATATAAAATGATGGAGTAATTTCTGAAGAATATTTTTATAACTATTTCATTGTGATAGCTTATCGGATTTTTTTTTAAATATTCTAAAACAATACAATTCTATTCATTCATAACTTTTGTGTTCCAGAATATACTTCTTATAACCTTATATGAAATAAAAGAATTATTTCTGATGAATATTTCTAAATATATTTTTCTGTATATAATGCTGCTAGTATAACTTACGAATATATTGAATTTAATTAATAAAATATATTTTATTTTCATATAATTATAACTACAATATTCTAATTTTCTCAACTCATTTTTTAGGCTTTATTTCTTACTTACATCGAATAATAGCAATTTGGCTTGTATTCTGCTTGTAATTTGTCCCATGTGAGAACGTTTTCCAGAATGGGAAAATAATGTAAAAGCATTTCTCGGCAACCATAAAACTAAAATCTGATTAACTTAATAGTGCACATATTCTTCATTTCCACGTATAAATCCTGACCACTATCAACTAAATCATTCTTAGGTTAACTGAACCGAATATTTTGCTGCGAATAATGTGCTTCCTGCTAACCTCAACCTCAGCACTCATCCAAATATTTGCATTCACAAAGACGCGAATATCTTTTGTTATGCGAAACTCCTTAAATGAGTATGAGTAATGCGATATTAGAAAGCCTGAGCATATGTGTTTGTGGGGGCAAGTTTGCGTGTTAATACACACATAAAACATTGTCTTCAAAATCTTTATCTAAAATGATGGACACAAAAGAAAATGAAGAAATATACGCAAAGAGAAAGATAACTGCCGGAAGAAGAGGTTAGCATGCAATTTAACTAGGGATACATTCCTTTAAGGATACTGTGCTAAAACAGTTTCAATAAAATTATAAGCAAAACTAATTTCAAAAACAGCAGGAAAACTAATGCTTATCTGATGTCCTAGGCTCAGTTTTTGTGTGATGTGGGTTTTCACGTAGGTGAAGGCAACAAACACCGGAAGACAATTAAATGCTCAAGGCAAATGCAATATAATCGTAAACTGAAATCCTTACTTTTGAGTAAACATCAGATAAAACGACTTTAGTTTTCACTAAAATATTCAAATAATTTAGGTTCGTTGTGAAAAACTAAAATTTCAAAGGTAGTACCTGTACATGGCCATTGTATATTTCAAGCAAAATATTAAATTTTTTTTCACATCACAAGAAAAGGAATATTGATGGACAATTCATTCAGTTTTTCCAAACAATTAGGAAAATTAATAACAATTAAATACCTTTGAAAAGTGGGCTCACAGTATATGACTTACAAATTAAAACGGGATAATGAATTATATAGATATTGTATTGTACTTACGATCTATTAGTATATAATAATTCGAAACAAAGGTACATTTAGCCAAAAATTCAATTATTGAAAAATAATAAAAATTTTCGTTGTTGCAATTCACTACTGTTCTATAAAAACCTCTCTATTGAAAAATTCTATTTATTATAAAATGAATATAAAAAATCTTACCCAATTCCGTTTCCTTAGAAAATTCACAAATGTTAGCTAGATTCAGTGTTACAAATTCCTTCCCTGTTATTAACATAAATATAATACCAGGCTTAGGTTCTAATGACTCAAGTTCTTTATCGTAGAATCTGCAAACTGGATTTGAGGCAATGCCTGTCTAGTTAAAATGTGCCCTGAGTCTATAAGGGGAAATCAAAGCACCAATTAATATTCTTAGACAACCCAATACTCAAATCATATATATTGCTAATTATAATTGGAATTATTGGCAGTCTTATATGTATGTAGCTTGCAAAATTTAAGTACCCAGATAATATTCTGTGTTGAAAGATGAGTTTACTACAAATTGAAGATATATACAGTATTGTCTCGATTTCACTCTTCTGTATTTATAATTTTCTCTCCTTCGCCTCTTCCAGTATGTTGATGACTTTCATGCCATATTTGGTCGTATTTGGTTCGTATAGGATACACCACATTTTGTCACAGATCACAGTGGCTGACATGGACTGGCTTGATGGACAGGTGTGTTTACTCAAACTATTTTTAGCCTTCGTCAAAGTATATGACATAAAACGCTAACTGACTAAAATTTTGATTAAAATCTTATAGCTTTTATATTTCTGTACTCCAGTTTTCTTCTCAATGAATCGCACACAGTAGTCACTTCTAAAAATGTTTTCAACTTTCTTGATGTTTTATTAATTGCATTTTTTTTGTTGACGGTACTCGGTCATTCAAAGTCCAAACAATTCTCCAAACCAACGAAATCGGTCAAGACATTAGAAAAATTATTCGGGGACTTGCATTCGTTTTCGTACACATTTTTTTATCCTTTCCTACTTAACAGTCTTTATTCTATGATAAAGACAAAGATAAAGATAAGGTTCACTCCACATTTATCTACTATCAAAAACTCATAGATGTCACTGCGCTAATAATGTTCACCGAAGCACACTCAGTGGATCTCGGAAAAATTGTGTTACACAAAGAATACATTTGATAAGAAGATTTTGAAAGCCTAATTTATTGGCTCTCACCCTAGATAAGTAGTGTTTGCTCACATAAATGTGTTATTTTTTTTATCATATTAAAGGAACAGGTTTCTTCATTTTTTTCATTACTGTATGGAGGGATGTGTGAGAAGTTAAATTAATAATACTTTTACAAAAAGTATCAATAGAAATTGTAATTAATTAATTCAACTATTTTACTGCTGTTTTAAGATTTCTCAGCAAATAAACAAAAAAAACTACAACTTCGAACATACAAGTCAAGTACGGCTTTGGGTCAGTTGGCTAATGAACACTGACTCTGATCTTCAAATTTGGCTGGGTACGACTTCAAACTATCTTAGTTTGAACTTTGTCTTAAAAAATTATTTGTGAATAATTATACATAAGAAATAATTCTAAATGAATACTGATTATAAGCAATGCTATATGGCAATACTCAAAATAGCTCAATGGTATGTTAAGTTGAAAATTCAATTAATTGAAAGTAATAAAAATTTTTGTTGTTGCAATTCACTACTATTCGATAAAAAATTTCTTATTTTTTTCGTTTATATTAAGAATTGACTTGCTTTTTTTCAAAATGAACGTTAAAATCAATTTTATATTTTTTATATTTTATTTTTTGTTTCTAATTTTGATTTCGAGTATTTGCCCCTAAGTTCTTACTAAGAACCTTTATCAAAGCAACAAACATTTAGAATTGCTTATATTTTTTAATTAAAAATTCAAAGTTTCATATTTATAAAATATAATTCAAGCATAATAATGGATGAAATATGTTATATCAGAAATATTGTATCTTTTTAGGTATTTATTTGGGAATGCATTAAAATGCAAAAATATTACGTATACGAAATTAAAGCAGAAGTTGCATAATATTTATATTGCAAATTTATGCAGCAGTAAATTTAAATTATTAAAAATGATTACATTATTTCATCAAGTCCAGAGTATAAGAAGGATATCTCAATTTACAGCATTTTAAATTCAGCAAAACATTATAAGACCTTAAGAGTCATGAACTAAAGTACACACATAAACAAGGAAGCGGTGGGTTCCTTAAAAAAACACTTTCATTTCAATTACATAAATTTTGCTTATTAAATTTTTGCACCCTCTTAAATGAGCATAAAATACAAGAACGCAGTAGGTATGGAAAATAAAAAGTACATTAAATAAGAAAAACGTTGAAGGAAATTATTTATTTAACAATTCCACATGCAAATTAGTAAACGTCAAGGAGCAAAGAGCAAGGAGCAAGGAGCGAATAACGTAGTTGCCATTACCAGAGTAGCGCTTGTCATTTTAGTACACATAAACCCATTGAGGTAATGTTAAGACTGTCTTTGCTCGAACGCAACAAAAAGAGCCGAAGCTATCAACAGAGGGATATCAACTGCTTCCTTCACCACTAATTCTGTCGCTATGTTAAGATCAACTGTAACTATTACTTCCTTACTAGCGGTGTGCTTACAGATATTCGCCATTCAAAACAGCTGCGTTGGCCTGTCCTTGGTGATGTTTCACAGTGGTTGCCAGTGATACTCCTTGGTACTTTGTATTGGGCTTAGTGTTGCTGGTATTGTTGTTGTTACTGTGAACTATTACTGCTG